AGCTGCCTGTAGCTTCAAGGCAAACACAAATGTTAAGAGGTATTAAACACTCATAAACAAGATAGCCTGGAGCAGCTTATCAGTTAGGTGGTAATGGGTGGGGAAAGGCTCACTATATATTTAAAGCCCAGTTGTTTTCCCACTGAATTTTGCCATGTCAGTAACGGGCCAGGGAGAGGAAAACTCTCGTGTGTTTTAGCATGGAAATATTGCTCAGGTCAGTCAGTTCTAACTTGCTCCTGCTGTGGCTCCTGCTCACTGTTCCACCAGGGTGTAAGGGCAGCCTCAGGCCAGCCACTCTCTGACTCATGAGAGGAAAGAGACAAGGGTCAATGCCAGCTCCATTTTTGACAGCTGGGCCACCACTATGGCAGGTTACTCCCATGGCAGAATGGAGATTACCCAAAAGGATTAGAGGTAATATCCCTGGCAGCAGAGGCCTTGCTAACCGGCCATACAGGAGCATCTGGGGGAGACTCTGCCCTCAGATTCTTGTTTGGTTGGAAAACAAATGAGCAGATGAAGACATTATCACCCTCTGTTGCTTGATACCACTCTACCACCAAAAGCTAGAGTGCAGCTGAGACACAAGGACACCTTTACTATTATCTGAGCGAGAGGTATCATGATTAATCTGATAGAAATTATTGGTGCTTTAGTCCCTTCCACACCTTCTAGGTAAATCATTTGGCTGGCTTGAATTGTCTGTATCATCTCCTATTAGGATCAGATGATTGCCAGTTCTGGTGCAAAGATGGGACAGAAACATGGGGTAGAAGCTGTAAGGACCTGAGGCACAGAAGCAGTGCTGTTTTTGGTGGGCATAAACTACTATAGACTACATCTGAATATCTCTAGTTCACAGTCTTCTGTCTAGTCTAATCCCATGTCCTTGGAGATTTCAACTCAGATGCCATTTGGAGCAGCTCTGCCCTGGACGTATGTTGACCGTAATCTTTGCCAGCAGAGCAGTAAAAACAGCTGGGTGGGTCAGTCACCTCACCATCATTTGCCAGACCTTATTTGTCAGAGGCCTAAATCACAACACAAACACTAGAAATCAGCCCAAAATGGATATAGCTAGACCACAAGACCTGAAAATTCTCTGAAAATGTGCAGTCTAGCTCAATAAATAGTGCCTTCTCCAGGACAGATAATTTGGGTTCTCCAAGCAAAACAGTGTCGAAAAGAAAAGCGAATCACACCAATATTTTTGGCAATATGGAAACATCCCTGAATATTACAAGGTACTTAGTACACAGGGAGAAGCTTCCAATGTAGATCCACATTCACTTCTGCATTTCTGGAGGTGAAGAGGGGTTTTCAGTCATGTTGAGCTAATGCAACTGAGCCAACAGGAATTAAAGCTATGCCCTTTACTGCCTGTTGAGACATGGTGAAAGAAAGCAGCTACCTTAAATCAAAGGGTCCAGATTCAGGGAGGTATTCCAGCTAGAAATCAGAAGGCAGTTTACAGATACTTTGATAACTTGAGCTTTTATCATTCCACAGGCCCCCAAGATCAGTTGGTGAGAGCTGAGTAAGTTTCCTCATATGGTATTTGAAGGCAAAGACAATCTACATTTGCTTCCCACAGGCAAGCTCAGGCAGCTACAGCGTGTTATAAAAAGAGGAGATTAAATGCAAGTTTTGCAGCACTACTGTCTGCAAAGATACAATCGGTTCTATCATTAGGAGCTTAAGAGTTAGGATTTTAAATCTGGTGTAGGCACCTTTGAAGCACCAGTTTTGTCAAGAATATCCCATGCTTTGTCCTATCTTGAAAACTGAATTGTTTAGTTATTAGAAGAGATTAATGTAATCTCTGTGTCTATGAAATTGGCTTTTGAAACTGCTTGCTTACTGTACTATCTCCAGTGCAGTGAATGAAATCTCTGCTGGTATTCACGTTGCTATGAATTACGGGTCATACCTTGTTTGAGCCCAGCATGTGCTGGCATCGCCAATGGGACAAAGTGCTTGGTAGGCTGCAGAAGGAGGCTCATTAGCTGGCAGGGAGAGGGAAGCTGCTGTTCTCCAGAGGCCACCAGCAACATACCATGTTGCTTTGGACCCTTAAGTGAAAGCAGGCCCAGTAAGAGGTGTACTGAGATGGCTGGGGAGAGGGTACACAGCAGGAGTGGAGCTTGGGGGAGCTGGGTGGGTTTAGTCCATAGGCAGGGGGATGGAGGGTGATCTAACAGGAGCCTATTGCAAATCACGCCTCCCTCAATGGGGGACTGACAGAGCCCAATCCCTCCTGCAAGCAACAAATGGACAAATGAGGGACAACAAGTCCAGGTTGGAGCTTGGGAGAGGAGAATGGACATTAGGGAAAACATCTCCCAAGAGAGAGACTCTCCACTCTCCATGTTTGGAGGCTTTGAAGACTTCACTAGACAATGCCAAAGCTGATCTGATGTAGTGTGATAGTCCTGTGCTAAGCAGGGCCTTCAGAGGACCCTTCCAACCAACATTTCTGTGTTTCTGTGCTTTTCCTAGTGAAGCAAATGAACACTGTTCAGCTCCACGAATATGTGAGGTTTTATGCTAGCTAAGGAGCTGGTCCTGCAGTCTTCCTTCTGAGAAACTAACAGTAAAGTTTAAGAAATCCTAGCCCCTCTCCTCCACGTTGCCTCTTCCTCCCTCAGCCAGCAGCAGCATGTTGTGCTCTCCTCCAGCCCACACTTTGCCACAGAAACATGACTTGTGGTCCTGTATACGTGGTCTTGCCATGAGTGTTGACAGTCCAGCTGCTTCACTTAGATTTAAATGATAGAAGGAGGGATATCCCAGGGCAGGAGGCAGTTGCTGCCGGTATTTCTGCTTCTTGTCAACTAACCCAGACCATGCTTCCTTGCAGCAGGTTCTGTTCCCTTGACGATCCTGGCCATAGTCCTTTATTTCTGCTTCCACACAGACACTTCAGGAGGCTCCTTTTCTGCTAAACAGAGGAATCATGAAGCATTCTCTGGCCACCTGAAGCAATTTCTCTCTCTGGCCAGAGACTGGCAACTTCACGCTCCAAACTCTGTAATGCTTGCTAGTTCTTTTCATCCTCTGGGTGTCCCCTCTTTTGGGAAAAGGGGACCTATTTGCTGAGTTTTTACTTACTCATCATGGCAGCACTGACAAGACAAGCTTCTAACAAGGTATCCCTCTGCAGTGCTGCAGCCCTACAGTGCTGCCCTGGGTAGCAGGTAAAATTAAAAACATAGGTTTTTAAATGGTATTCTTTCCTTTTTGCAGCAGCTGAAAATCTAACTTGTTTTCTGTCTTTCCCAGAAGTAACCTTGACTGCAGTGGCTTGAGAAGTGGCCTGGCAGTAGCAAGGTTTTTATTAATGACTGATTGCTGCAGCGCAATGGATGATTTGGTGCTCTGATACAGGGAGAATGGCAGAAGAGAAAGAAGTCAAATGAGGGGGTGCCTGTGGTTGTTATGCTTCTCCCGATGCACCTGGCAGAGACTGCAGAAATGGCTATATGACTAATGGAAGTGCTTGTGCAATATGGGGAGCCTCACACCCCAAAACACCACAGGCACAGACAGTGTCACCACCAACACTGCTGCCCAACACTGATGGAAGGGAAAAAGAACCAACATCTGTATCCTCTGCTCTCAGACAGAAAAAAAAAATCTTTTGTATTTTGATTTCTTTTGGCCTTTGTAAACAGTTTTAGACACTGTTTATATACAACTTGCTTTGTCCAGTTGGATACTTGTTCTGTCTGTTCTCTCCAGCTGTAAGCACCTCCTCACTAATTGCTGTTTCTTTGGCCAAAAGCTTTACTTTTGCCTTCTGAATTCCATAATGAATTGACAGTACACACATAAAAAGCTCCAATAATGCCCTCAGTGTCTCCCATGGCTCTGAGATGCCCTCAAGGCCAGACCCAAACTTCAAAGTGAAGACATGGCACTAAAGTACTGCCTGACTTCAGGGCTTCTCTCCACCCAAGAGCATGCCGGCAGCCGAGTGCCTGTGCTAGCCTTTTCACCCCAAACTATATTCAGTCCACAATGATTTGTTCCCAGCAGCTCCGTTTGTTCTCCTCAGCTGACAGACAGCGGCCCCACAACCTTTGCTCACTGTCCCAGGTACCCTGACAGGGCCAGTCATTTTGGGGAGCTCTGCAGCAGCAGTATTGTGGTAGCTATGATGATCCTAATTACAACTGAATCAAGACAAAACGGAAAGCAAAGATGGCATCATGGAAAAATGCACACAGAGCAGCTACAGTTCCCTCAGAGCTGCACTAGCACCAAACACTGCACCTTGCTGGAATGTGCTGCAATTAGAAAGCCCACCCGCATGACACACATTTTCATCTGTCAGGGATACTGTCAGAAGGCCTGGGGGGAGCTGCTACACATACTGGATTGTATGCATGCTTTGGAGCTGGAGGAGTACCAGCATGTGCTGGGAATTAACAACATTTTATACGCACACACAGCTTTACATGGTCTTACTGGTATCTGAACGTTTGCTACTGCTTACAAGACAACTAAGTTCTGACCTACCTACGGAAAGGATCTTGGGTATTTTTTTTTAACGGCACATGGATAGGTCAGAATGGAATCATAGAATCATTTATATTGGAAAAGAGTTATAAGATCTTCAAGACCAACCATTAATACATCACTGCCAAGTCCACCGCTAAACCATGTCCCTCAGTGCCACATCTACGCATCATTTACATACTTCCAGGGATGGTGACTCAACCACGTCCCTGGTCAGCCTGTTACAATGCTTGACAACCCTTTCAGTGAAAAAGTATTTCCTAATATCCAATGCAAAGATTCCTTTCCCACTTTGAGACAGGTGTTCAGTGCTCTGTCTGTCACCAGCAGCAGTGCTGTCATGTAAACCAACCCACAATCAAAAATGCCAAAATTTTGCAGTGACACCAGGCTCAGAGCCAGGTATTGATTTGCTGGCTCTTTCTGTTTCTTCCCTCATCATTCCCTGCAATTGGAATTATAAGGGAGAACAGTACCTGTGCTCCTGACCCCTTAAGCAACCATCCTGAAGCCCTGAAGTCTCTCCTGATTGCTCTTGGACTTCTTGGTGCAACTTCATTGCCGCCAACCTGAAAAAACAATAATGGATAATAATCTGAGGGCTGTATGAGGTTACTTAGGAAAAAGCCCAAGTGACTGCTATACTTTACATTTGGTTCTACCTTCTCCTGGTGCCATGATCCTGCCCATATCCATTCAATTTTTTCTTACAATGAACTGCTTTGGAGTATGTGTGTCTTGTTCCTCACTGACTCCAATGTAGCATGATTCTGCTTATGAGCACTGGCTCTTAGGGACCACAACAGTGACATTAACAAAGTTAGCAAAATCTCTATGATAAAATGACTGGTTATACTATTAATAAAAGCCATCCACATATCTATAGAATTATTAGTTAATGCTGCTCTGCCTTTGGCTAGTGAAGCATAACTGGGTTATAAAGACAGATTTGTATTGATAAAGCTTCTAGACTGAAGAATTAAATTATATTTACCATCAGCAATGTGTTGTTAAAAGTATGAACAGAAAACTCACTAGTCACCAACCTTTAATATTGCCTGAGCACCAGAAAACCTGAAAAAGAAAAGTTCTTGACTCTGGCCCAGTAGGGCTGCCACTTAGATATTTTTGAAATTTAATTGAGCAAACGTCATCATTCCTAACACAAACCATCTTGCAGTGAGCATGCTTTTGAGCGCTCAAAGCAAAGCAGAAAGGAACACTAGAACCCTTAAGAGTTAGAAATTATTCCCATATTAGGTACTATTTCCACAGTGAGCTGCATTCCCAGTTTATCCATTTTCATTATGCCAATTTATTGCATTTATGTGCTAGGGATGTGTGTTTAGATTAAAATCTCATTTTTGTAGATGCTACATGAACAAGACAGTCTCTGCTCCTGGAGACTCCAACATAGTGCCACAGTGACCTGGAAGCAGAGGATGAAGGATATGCCCAATAGGGAGAATCTGCAAATTGATGTGTCCAGCAAAAAAGCACATTCTTCAGAGCAGGCGAAACCTTGCTTTTAGGAAAAAAATTGTATGACACGAAAATGCACATGGGCTATGCAGACATCTCATTTATATTTAAGGGTAGCTGTAGTGCTCTGTCTCATAAAATGAGACAGATTAAAAGCCTGAGAAATTTCAGTCCCCTCCATCTAGGAAACAAGTGTATCAGGTGACCATGTTCCTCCACAGTGACCTGCCAATCCAAAATTTAAATGGATTTGGGAAGGAGAGGACAGTTCAGGCTCTGTACCCACTGCAGCTTGCCCTGTCTGTTCCCACTGCCAGCAATAGCAGCATCTTCACCACTGCAATCTTCCTATTCTCAGAAAAAGGGGCTAAAAGAATTAACACTTGTACTCCTCAGATGTGAGAATAAATCCCCCCACTGTCTGCAGTGTTTTATAACAGCAACTTTTATTTTCCGAAGAGATTTTGGCATGAAGGAGCCTGACTGTGATAGTAAATGTGTGGACACGTCAAGTAAATGACTGTTTGAAAACAGGGCTCAACCATGTAGCTAGAAAGTCAGGAAGGACTTCAAGATGTATCTACGCTGTGCCAAGTGAAGGTGCTGCACGGCCCAAGGTGCCCCCAGGATTAGGATCAGCGCAGTCACATTGGTCAAAGCCTGGCTGAACAAGCTTTGCTTTTTTGGTGCCATGTAACCCAGCGCTAACACAGATATCCTCGCGCCCTACCCTCACTAGCACCTCTGCCTGGCACTGCACAGCAGCAAATGGTGGTACCAGCTGGAAACAGCTGCTGCAGGGGTGCAGTGGGGACACATCTGCAAGCTTACACATCCTCTCTGTGTGGGACCTTGGTCTCTCCTTAATTCTCAGAGACTGCCTGAGGATCTGTTTTATAGGAGCTGGTAGGACCCAGTGGCGCAGATGGGACATCCAAAGTAGCTTTAAATCCAGTGTTGGGGGGGAAAGCAGCTGAGAGCAAGTAGTGGTGAGACCAGACACTGGAATCTGAAGGTATAGGCAACAGATTATTAATGAAGAGACTTGTTTAAGTGTCTTGGTAATGTGGCAGTGAGAAACCTTGTTATTACTGCTTCAAAAAGAGTGCATATATAACATGGTATTGTGAAATCTTGAAATCTTTGTACACAAATACAGTTAGGAGAAGAAAAAAGGAAAACTTAGCCATATTTCTGAATATACTCTCTTCTGAAAATAATGTTGACACAGCTAGAACAGGCCTGCTATATTCAACTCTCATGCACGTCTTCATTCCCATGGCTTAATAATCATAACGAAATATGAGGGGAAGGTAAATAGTCTTCATTCCACATCTCTGAGGATAATAGTAAGAAGGAAGAGATTTCAAACGTTGTTAATGACTTGTAGAGCTGCACATTGCTTAAAACATTGACCACAAGCCAAGAAATACCCCTCAAGGCTGCAAGCAAAAACAGTTTTTGGCTCTGTGCTGTGAACAGAAACTTTATTTGATCAACAGTTATTGCAAGATTTGCTGTTGAGAGTCTGGAAGCTCCTCTCTAATGTGGCACCCCTCACTGCAGCCAAAGACTCCTGCGTGGCAAAACTCTGGGCTCATGAAATGCAGCTCTGGCTCACAGCTTCAGGTTAATCGTGATGACCACTGAGGAGAGCTTTGACGCTTCCCCCTTGGCTACCATAGAAGTCTGTGTAACTTTTCATGGGGAAATAAGAGAGATCTGAGACTGGCAAAAAAACGCCTCTGTTTTTGTGACCGGATGTTGAGTTGGGAGAATGAAATCAGCTGAACTGGATTTTGTGAAGAGGTTCAGTTTTCTCTTTCAGCAGCTGTACAAGTACAGGGGCAATCCCTGGCCTATGAGCCTCACCAGGCTAAGAAGGAAACAGATGTGTATGAGGCCTCCTAGCCAGAAAATCACCCACCTGCCAGAGAATACTGACAGAGAGAAAATGAAGGAACTGAAAATTATTTTTTAAGAGAGTTTCTCAGAAAAATGACAGACTTTCTCAAAAGATTTTAAATTTTTTTTTAAATGTGAAAAGTAGACATTTAAGTTGACATTTGGAAAACTGAAGGTCTATTATTCCTATATCAGAAATGTGTTTTCTTCAAAAAAGTTTCGAGAAGTGCTTAAGAGAAGTTGTTAAGAGCAGAAAGTAATTTTCAACAAGAAACAACAAGCTATACTGATTAGAGAAAACCAAATGATACTGACTACTCCTGAATACCACACACCAAACCCTATCCAACTAATTGCTTAGGGACATATGGATATTTGGCATCTCCATGCTGGTGGTTTGGTGGTCTGGCAAAAGAGAACCTTCCCCAACCATGAGAATAAAATTTAAAAAAATAAATAATAACAGGCCCCTGTTCAGCAAAAAGAAATCAATGGGGCACAGAGAATTCTATGTATGTCAGAGACACAAGAGCTCTGATGCAAACCAATCATGAGTTGCCTGAGATCCTTGGGAGAGAATAAGGAATTTCAAACTAGTGTGCCATAGGAGAGAGCCCTAGAGCCCAGACAAGCAACCGGGTGCTCACAGAGGTCATGAGCAAAAGGGCCAGAATACAGAAAAACTAAACAAGCTGGAAATAGATGTATTTTGGGTGTGTGATGTATGCTGACCCCAAAACTGGAACAGGTTGCCCAGAAAAGTGGGTGTCCCATCACTGGAAATGTTAAAAGTCAGGTTGGATGATCCAGTGACAGATGTCCCTGCCCACAGCAGAGTGGGGGGACTAGATGGTCTTTGAAGGTCTCTTCCAACCCAAATAAAATTATCATTCTATGATTTCCCATTTCAGCACTAAAGTAAGAAGCCTAAAATTTGCTGGTTCTGACAGTCTGAAATACCATTAAAAGCAATGTGCCTTTTCCAAGTACCATCTATGGTGTGGTTTTTTTCAAACAGAAAAACATTAACATCACTTCTCTCCTTCTCAACTTCTCCCCCCCTTCCCCAAAATGGGCAACACAAGGAGTTTGCAACGAGTTTTAGAGTCTGTGACTTTCTTATTCCAATCCAGATAGTATGAAAAGAGGGCATAATAAACTGTTATGTTCAAAGATTTACCTTTCTAACAAGAGGGAAGATAGAGTGGCAAAGTACAGAAGAAGGGAAACACCGGGAAAGAGGAAAAGCACGTGTGCAGTGTTGCCTCCAGGCTTTATGTTCGACAGAAACAAAACAAACCATGTACAGGAAAATAGAATGCTTATTTCCAGTGAGAAATACACAGCTTAATATCCCGGCTAAAGTCAGGTGGAGAGTACAACTCTGTGTATCCCTGTCATATGGCCAAGGTGAGCATTTGCTTTCTGCAGAGTGGCCTTGGATGGGCAGAGAGACTTCTGTATGTCGGAGATTATGCGACTGTTACATCCGATCCCTACTTCAAAAACCACGTAGTGTTTCCATAGCATGGTAATGGTTGCAGGTACAGGCATCAACAACAAGTGAGGTCTAGCGAAAGGGTGGAGGGGACACCCCAGGCTGCTGGGAGCAGTTAAAGCCCATAAGAAAGGTTGGTACTTACTACTGCGAACAAAAAGCTCATTTTTAATTAAAAGCAAATCCCAAGAAGAGTGTGTTGCATCAGTTGGCAGCACACACAGATTTGGGGCACACTGGGGAGTTCTTCAATGTTGACCCCTGTATCTTTTGTCTCCTGCCTCAATAAGCCATAGAGGTGTTCAGATGCAATTCTGTCAGTGTGCTCTAGAATCACCCTGCTTGAGCAGGGAGGTTGGACCAAATGATCCACTGTAGTCCCTTTCAACCTGATCCATTCTGTGATTCTGTGGTATTTGGGAATTACTACAGAGGTAGACACAGCACCTAAAACCCCCTGTGCTTCCTTGACAGGGTGCTGAGGGCCAACAGTGTGGCATTGTTCCCACTCATGCCTCTGTGTAACCATGGACCTGTGGCTGGACTCCAGGTTTGTAAATACTTCACCTGAGATCAGGTGCTGGTCTCGTCCCCAATCAAATCTAGTGGCAGAGGATTGTGAAGGTATCTCAAAAGCTTGTCCCTTCTCTTGTAGTAAAGGCAGTCACTGAAGTAGAGGCTGCC